CATGAATGCTCTATTAACTTTTCTCCCCAAGCACAGGTTGAATTTGTGTGTGGTGAATCAGTCAACTGAATCGTTCATCATGAGCACTGAGAAGTTTAGTGACCAAAATCTAGGTTGGCCATTTTTTCAAGAAAAAAAAGAACAAAAAACACTGAAATAGTCCTTTTTCTTGCCAGACTGGTCTTTGAAGGAATGATTTCATGGGAGATGTTCTTCAACAAGTACATGTTTCTTAAGAAAGATGGCAAGTCAAAAATTAAGGGAGAGGAGAATTGTAGGGTGACAGTATTTTTGCATAAGAGATTTTCGAGCAAGTACTGAAATACTGAGAATGTAAATTTTTGACTAGGTGTGCTCTGAATGGATTTGGAGCAGAGAAATGGCTAGTGAACCAGCAATTTTTCAAGAAAGAGGAATGTTCAGAGATATAAACAACGTTTTCTAAAGGCTCCCAGATTCTCCTATACTTGCGTTAACTAAATCTTAGCCACAGGTGTTAAAGATCATAACTCACATTTTGCAGCACAGAAAATTTGGTGGAGCTAAGCCAAGGTCAGAAGAAAGATCCTCAGCATATTTGGAACTCAAGCAAGGATCTCTTTGGGCCTGAAGGCAGTATTATATCAGTGCTAGGATTATTAAGAGAGAATTTGATTGCAGTCTTCCCACCTGTTTGGGTTCATACTTCCGCCTTCACTTTATCATTCCCAGACATGCAGTTCTGATATTATAATTGTTATTCACACCTGGGCACCACATATTTCTGTTGCCACTTCCTCTGTATATCCAGTCTTTTATATTCTCCCCTGCAGAAGGTGGTTAGGCCATGAATCTATAATTCTTTGAAGTTGGAAGTAGATTTATGCACACGCAGAAGGACGGTGTCATTGCCACATTTATCATGTAAGTGCGTTGGCATGGCTATTGAAAGGAAATCTGTTCCATTGTTGATTCCTAATTGTGGTATCTCACTGGGGTAGCTAGGGCGGTAAGAGCATAGCCATGCACACAGGAAAACCTCATGTTAACTAATGTCATTCAAGCAAGAAAAGCTAGGGTGTTTACGGCACATTAGTCTACCATTTCATGGTCTCAAACGTCATATTTTCTAACTTAGATCAGTTTAGCTTAGTTACATCTGAAAGCCTTAAGGTAAAGGATTTATTGACATGGGTGTGGGTGTCATTGTTCAAACTTTCTGCATTAGTGTGATTATACTGCTTCTGTTACATGGTCACCAAAAAGGAGCTAAAAGACCAACATAAATTCTACTCGGTTCCCTTCAGTTCATGTTCAAAGACTTTAAGCATTCGGCACATATGATCTATGTACCAAGGTGATACTCCAACAGAGACAAATTACGTTGAGACATCTGAAAGTCATCATTTCAACGCACATGTACGCATTTTAAAAGGAAACCTACAAGAGGATCAAAAAAGGAGATTACGCCACATCTGTTTGGGTTTAAACTACATTGTCTACTGAGTTCAAAGTTGTTTCCTTTTGTCTTAGAAAAAAAAGGAAAGGAACCCTCCTGCCCAGCTGCTTTTTATCTTAAGTTCCTCACTACTATCAAAGAAGTGTTTTCGGTGGTCATTCCATGTTATTTCAAAAACCTGAGCTAGTTAAGGAAAGAAGCTAGTGAGAAAATATGCCTTATTCATCAAAGCGTTGCCCTCTCCACCTTCACTTGGAATATACAGAGAAAAATTGGGAGAGGGGCTCTGTGAAGTCCTAATGGGAATTCTCTTATCTACCACATGCTGTTATGCCATAAATTAAGGAGCCTAAGCAAGCAAGCAGAACTCCCATGTGAGCCACGTTTCAAAACAGGGTGCTCAGAGAGGCAGCAATGGATAAACTCCATCCTGGGTCTTAATTTATCTTGCACGAGTAATTGCCTGTGTAGTATTTGGGGAACAGAGCAAAAGGAAAGGGCACCTTTCCCCCCACTTGGGGATCAGCTCGTGTGTTGCTCAGCTTCAGCCCTCTGAGAGCCAGTGTGGTGTAGTGGTTAAGAGCAGTAGACTCGTAATCTGGGGAACCGGGTTCACCTCTCCGCTCCTCCACATGCAGCTGCTGGGTGACCTTGGGCTAGTCACACTTCTCTGAAGTCTCTCAGCCTCACTCACCTCACAGAGTGCTTGTTGTGGGGGAGGAAGGGAAAGGAGAATGTTAGCCGCTTTGAGACTCCTTCGGGTAATGATAAAGCGGGATATCAAATCCAAACTCTTCTTCTATGGCTATCCCCCAGTTCATGAGCTTGGGCATAAGTAGCACACACTTTTCAATGATTATTTCCCCTAGGATTTAAAGCAGAGCTGGGGCACCTTTGGCCCTCCGGATGTTTCTAAACTACACCTCCCATTAGCCCTAGCAAGCATGGCCAGTGGCCAGGGGTGATGGTAGGTGTGGTTCAGAAACATCTGAAGGGCCAGCAGTTCCCCATAGCTACTCTGAGGTTATATATCTCTTTTTGGCTTTGTGCGTAAAAGTACACAATGTAGATCTAATTGTCTGTTGTGCTCTGCCTGAACACACACGCTCTATGGCTGTGAAGGCCTTACTGTACAAAGGTGCTGGTTTCATGTTTGCAAAAACAAACAAGATGAATTTTAACAGGGAGAAATGTAAAGTATTGCACTTGGGCAAAAAAAATGAGAGGCACAAATACAAGATGGGTGACACCTGGCTTGAGAGCAGTACATGTGAAAAGGATCTAGGAGTCTTGGTTGACCACAAACTTGACATGAGCCAACAGTGTGACGCGGCAGCTAAAAAGCCAATGCAATTCTGGGCTGCATCAATAGGAGTATAGCATCTAGATCAAGGGAAGTAATAGTGCCACTGTATTCTGCTCTGGTCAGACCTCACCTGGAGTACTGTGTCCAGTTCTGGGCACCACAGTTCAAGAAGGACACTGACAAACTGGAACGTGTCCAGAGGAGGGCAACCAAAATGGTCAAAGGCCTGGAAATGATGCCTTATGAGGAACGGCTAAGGGAGCTGGGCATGTTTAGCCTGGAGAAGAGGAGGTTAAGGGGTGATATGATAGCCATGTTCAAATATATAAAAGGATGTCACATAGAGGAGGGAGAAAGGTTGTTTTCTGCTGCTCCAGAGAAGCGGACACGGAGCAATGGATCCAAACTACAAGAAAGAAGATTCCACCTAAACATTAGGAAGAACTTCCTGACAGTAAGAGCTGTTCGACAGTGGAATTTGCTGCCAAGGAGTGTGGTGGAGTCTCCTTCTTTGGAGGTCTTTAAGCAGAGGCTTGACAACCATATGTCAGGAGTGCTCTGATGGTGCTTCCTGCTTGGCAGGGGGTTGGACTCGATGGCCCTTGTGGTCTCTTCCAACTCTATGATTCTATGATTCATTATGAAGCTGAATCACACTATCGAGCAAATAGGGTGGCTCTGGCAATCTCTATATGATGGCATTGCAAGATGGCCCAGGACATCCTCTGAATGAAGCAGTTTGAATCATGCTCCTGCTACCCAGGTAACAAGCACTGTGACTAGTGGTGGATACTGGCAACTGGAATTGAGAGAAAGAGTAGTAGGATAAACAAGGGATTGGTTGGATATAACTTGCCTTATCTATTCACCATTTTCATTTTTTTGTGTAGCAGGGCCATTGTTGGTAGTGTATGGAATCTCTTCGCACACACCCTTTCTTTCCCTCGCCCCCCCCTTTTTTTTACAACTGGAAACCATTTTTTGTTTGTGCCACCCAACTTTGAGGGCCTTATCCAGACTGCATCCTCCCGGTGGCTCTTCCCTCCTATGCAAACTGGTTGTTGCTGCCTGCTCTACTTTAACTTTTTACATAATGCCATTGGCAAGGAGTGTTTGGGAGACTTTTGTATTATAGAATTTTAAGGTGATCATTGAGAACCCTGGGAAAGTGAAGACAACTTCTAAAAAGAATGGTTCTCCAACATGTGGCCCTCAAGGCCTTTTTTGGTGGCTGTTGGCAACATTTGAGGCCTGTCGTAGTCCAGTGCTGCCAGCCACAGCAGAGCTCAGTGGAGGGAGTAGCCAGCCAACCAGCCAGGTTTCAAGGACTCTTGGCCTAGAGGCAGAGTCTGTATGCAAGGCTCAGTCCAGTCCTAAGGGCAGGAGTACCTCAGTTCATGTAGTCAGACAAGCCAGGGGTCAAGAAAGCCGAGGGTCCAAGGTCAACAAGAAGCAAGAAGCAGCAAGATCTGGCCAGGCTTGACAAATGTTCATTCCAGCAACTGACTGAGGCTGGAAACCCTGCTTAAGAAAGCTGGAGCCAGCTGGTTCACATCAGGAGCAAGAAGGCTGATCAGCAGCAGGTGGAGTCACTTTGCCTTCTGCTCCTTCAGGCTGCTGCTCAACAGGTGAAGCCGTCTCCTGGCCCATGACAATGCCCCTCCAGCCTTCGTGCTACTTTCCCAAAGCTGGGTAAGCGAGGTGCTGGGCTTTGGGAAGGAGGCATAAGTACTCTGACAGTGTCCTGGAGTCCTCCTTCCTCCTTTCCAAAGCCTTGTTAGTGCTTTCCCAGTTTGGGGAAGGAGGCTGACGAATTCTAGGACCCTGCCAGAGCCCTGCACCTCCTTCCCAAAGCCCAGCAACTTGCTTACCCAGCAAGGGCTGTGCAAGGGCTGAGGGGGGCATCAAATTTTGGCGTCCCACCGGCATGGCAAGGCAGGGTGCGTCCCATGGGTTCGATGTCAAAGTACTCATGTGATCCACTTGGCAGGAAAAGTTGGACCACCCCATTCAAAAGCAATCGCCACCAACTCACCACAGTAAGATACTACATTCTGCAACTTAATCACAGGAATATATGCTATGGCTATACAAATGGTTTCAAAATGTATAAAATATTCATGGAGAAAAAATATAGCTCAGGATAAATATGAGAAATGTGTTAAAACTGAGTAATGCCATAGTATGAATATTAAATATGAATATTTAAAAATATTATGCTTCTCATAAAAGTAAGCACCCAAAATACTTTTCTGTGTCCTGGATATGTGCTATGTTTGTTCTAATATTTATTTTTTAAAAAATAAATAATCAAAATTGCCTTTAAAATGCGAGAAGAATTGGCTCTCCAAACTCTCTGAATCATATAATATTTGTTCCATTGCAAAGAACACTTTCCTCCCTGAACTTTCTCTTGTCGTAAGTCATTTTTTCCCTGCTTTCTTGGAAACCGCTTAGAAGGAAAGGCAAACTCCAAGTGGTTATCAATGAGCCACTACTTAAACAGTGCAGGGCTATACTCAAATAACCAATTTAGACATTATTGTTGGCAGGCACCCAGTCAACTACTAATAGTACCATGTGTTGGGTTGACTTAATAACTCTTGGGCTGGGTTTTCTTGTGGGATGTCTCTAAGTGGGGAAGATAGAATCCTGGAAACAAGATGATCACATAATTTTGTGTTCTTAAAGCTTGCTCAGATGAAGCTTCCTCCGTGGTTGATGATTTTGCTCTGCAATGCATAATAAAAAGTAGAGGAATAAGTGATAGCAGCTATATAGTATATTTTCAGGAAGTTGGGGTTTTAGCAACAACTCCTCTTCTTGCCTTTGTTACCTGTGCCAATCCTGCTAGCTTCCAGTCTGCTTCTCAGTTTAAAAATGTGGAGGAAACACACGTTAAAACATAATAAATGACAGGATAGATACAGTATAGAAATGGATTGGGACTAATATTTTGTGTATACTGCTTCCAAAACCAATGGGAGCACACTGAACACAGAGCAAAGGGGAGCATGTACGCAGCTTGAATTAAAAGTATGGGAGCTGAAAATTTGCTGGTTTGAAAAACATTTTAAGAACAGTGGTCCTTGTGAAAAAGAATTGAGTAGGGAAGAAGGTAATGTTTGGGAGGATTCTTAGCACTGATAACTCCACCTTTTGCTACCCCTGGTTCCACCTTCTGTTAGCTGCTGGGTCCCCTGCTCCAGCAGCTCAAATGCACAGCAGCCCCCACAGTGTAAGTCAAACCCTCTTAGGACCATTTTACACAATTCTGAGATACATGGTTAGCTGTTTATTTTCTCTCTTGGTCACCATATTTCAGGTGTCAAGTGTGCTCATAACAAAGCTTGCTCCCTAGTTGGAAGAAAATGGAAGAAATGGATTTAGCACCACAATCAACCCCAGTGGGCTGGGCATGGACAGTGTCCATCAAACCTTTGTCTGTGCCTATGATAGATAGACATCAACTTGCCAACAAAGGTCCGTATAGTTAAAGCTATGGTCTTCCCAGTAGTGATGTGTGGAAGTGAGAGTTGGACCATAAAGAAGGTTGATCGCCAAAGAATTGATGCTTTTGAATTATGGTGCTGGAGGGGACTCTTGAGAGTCCCATGGACTGCAAGAAGATCAAACCTCTCCATTCTTAAGGAAATCAGCCCTGAGTGCTCACTGGAAGGACAGATCGTGAAGCTGAGACTCCAATACTTTGGCCACCTCATGAGAAGAGAAGACTCCCTGGAAAAGACCCTGATGTTGGGAAAGATTGAGGGTACAAGGAGAAGGAGACGACAGAGGGTGAGATGGTTGGACAGTGTTCTCGAAGCTACCAGCATGAGTTTGACCAAACTGCGGGAGGCGGTGGAAGACAGGAGTGCCTGGCATGCTCTGGTCCATGGGGTCATGAAGAGTCGGACACAACTAAATGACTAAACAACAACATGATAGATAAGGGTTTTGCAAAGAACACACTTGATCTCAGCTGTGAAATAAGCTTAAGGCAGCACAGAAAGAAAATATTGTGCCTAATATGACTATGCAAAGGACCAAAACAAAAGAAAAAGATCACATATTCAAAATGTGAATCTCATATGTCCTTTTAAATCAAGGTCCAACTGTTGGGTGGTTGTTTTCCTCTCTCCTTTATGCTGAACTGAAATTCTGAAGACAAGTTTTTGGGAGAGACCCCACAGGCCTGTAAGAAGATTGAGGTGGAAACAGAAAACAGCATAGGGATCCCTTTCCTGGTGCCTATTCTCCAAACGCTCTCCGTAGGAATCAGTCTGTACCAAGCTATAACTAATGTTGGCTGTGGATCACAAATAGTTGAGCGGAGGATGGGAAAGTAATAGCCAATACCCTGGCTCCACTCAGTTCTTCCAATTCTCCCTCCATAATTTGCAAGATGGATAGGCTTTGGCTGAGGCTTTTGAGGTTTTGGGACAAATGACAACACTCAACGTTGTTCAAGTGGTTTGTAATTCATGTTTGAAACTGAGGAGGAAAGCCTTTAAGGCATCCTGGTCATAACTGCCAGTTCAGCAAATATTAAGGATTTGTTCACATTTAACTGTTTGGTGCCTAGTACAAGACCCTCCAGAGGAATTAAATCTTGGCTTTGCAAACTCTAAATGCAGGCTTTCCTGCTGCTCCTCTGTCACCTTCCTGGCCAGGCAAGCATATCAAATTCCCTAATCAATATGCATGTGACTAATCCTCAACAACTACTCTCTATCTTTGATACTAAAAAATAAAATAAAAATCCTATTCTGAGTTTGACGGGCCTGAACCCTGTGAAATAGTCCTTATGACCTTTGACAAAAAGCATCCATGTTTCTTAATTGTCATAGCAGTTTGCCAAATTTTGCAATTCATCTGCGGGGAACACATGTTCAATTGATGAGTGTGGGGGACATAGCAGTTTTTCACCATCGAATAGAGAAGGGCAGAGACAGTAAGATGGATCTAGGGTGAAGCAATGGCCAATTTGCTTTCTGGGAGATCTTCCCCCGCCTAATAGGACTTTCCATTGCCACACCATTGGTCCTCTCACCTCTATTCAGAAGCCTGACATTCCTCTCCATCATTCTGAAACCATATGACATCCTTCCCAGTACACAACTCCTTATCACCCTTATTTTCAAAACTTTCAATGGCCTTCTTGCTTTCTCAAAAAACTCTACCCTTTCTTCCTAGCTGCTCTGTATTCCTTGAACTTCCTTCCATGACAACTGCATGATGCTGCCCCTTCAAAACCCACCATTTCTGCAGAACCTTTCACTTCACCCCTTGGTTCTTATTCCACACTGCAACTCTTTTTGAGTATCGACAACTGAAACCATTGCCATTATCTCCATCTTTCTGTCATCTCTCTGTTGGCATCCCTCCTCAGATGAAGAAGGGACCTGTCTTTTTGTTTGTTACTGTGCATACATAACTGTACACATGTATGGTTCTACATGACTATAACAACAGCAACAATGGTACGAGACTAGTAATGGCTGCTCATTTTGTGGTTCAAAGAATGGTAAAAACCGAAGGACAGTGGCAAATGCTGTCAGAGGAAAAGTCTTCCTTTCCTTAGTTTAAATTTTTGTTCTGCCCATGAGGAGGGAAACGGCTACAATATCATCCCATGCTTCAGAAAACATATGGAAGCAAGGATTAAAGCTGTTCCAACCTATTAAATTTATGGAGCCGGAATCCTCTGGGAGATGTCATAAATTCACATCCTTTCTTGAGTGTGAAAGCCTGCAGAGGGACTTTTAGATTCACAGATAGGCGTATGAAAATAAATTTTTGCTGCCATCGCTGTGCTGAAATAGAGAAGAGGAAGATGATCCTGTTCACCCACTTCCCCTCCCCCCAAAAAATTAAAGGCTGGGGTTAATTTAAAAAATCTAAACGAAACCGTGTCAAGTTAAAAGGGCCCGATTCTGACACCGTAGCTTTATTTTTGTTGATGACATATAGGCGTATTTGAGAAGATTCAAAAATAGGTCAGCAGCGAGGGATTAGGATCTACACCAGTAGATGGATTAAAGGAAACCATCAAAAATATAAAAAGAAAGACTGAAGAAAATTAGTATGTTCAGTTCAAGGCCTCTTCCAACATTACAAGCCACATGTAGCCATCAGTGTTTATGTAAGCATGAGTATTCACAAGTGGTCAACCACAGCATAATTTGAGCCTCGCCTTGCCAGAATTTCTACCAGCTGCCACTGGACACTGTTCCTTTTGAACTACTGTTCTTCTAACCCAGAAAGATTTCCTTTGTGATACATTGGGATAAATAAAGAGATAAGTGCACTAAATCACTGTAACACGGAAGCTACGTGGTCTTGTAAATAAAAGGACCGTGAACAAAAGGAAAGTATCCAATGCCTCATCCTGGAAAATTTACCGATCCTCACCCTGGGTTTCGCTAGGGTTCCCTGTGGTGACATGTAAGACATTTCAAATCCTATTGCTATTGCAAACTTTTTTATTCGCTATAGGCCTCCTACCACTGTCTGCAACCAGAAGGTGGCAGTATTACATCCAGTATTAATGTACTTACACCACAGGCAAAGGGGAATGAGGAACAGATGTCAACGGAACATTCAGTCTTAATATTGAAAAATTATGCATCAACTGCTCAATTAATCAGCCTAGGCGGCATTAGCACTGCGACATTGTCCTTTGGCTGCAGCACATTGTTGTTATTTTAAGAATGTCTAATAATATTAGTCATGCAGTGCTGAGTTAGCCCAAACTGCAGCACTGATCAGAGCACAAACTTTACATAACAAGGGTGGGCTCAGCCCACAAACGTGTGTTGTTGTTTTTTACAATACCTGCACAATACACCTTCTAGTGAGAAGATATAGCAAGAGCACCACCTCTTACAGAACACAAGTTAACCTGGACCTGTTAATGATCCATCTCCTTTCGAGATATTGTTCATATCTGTGTCCAGATAAAATCTGAAGTGTCTTGGGGAAGGCATGTTGCAGGTGGGAGGGATATGCAATAAAGAAATACTGAGCAATGTAATTTCAGCATTCTTTTGTTTGGGTTAGATAGCACAACAATTTGCTTAGGGTTAATCCACACTTAACTTTCCTCTGCTCTTTCCAGGCACAGTCCGTGTCTCTGTGCCTAAGCACCTTTCTCTCTCTCTCTCTCTCTCTCTCTCTCTCTCTCTCTGGAGCTTTCCTCATGAAAACCTGCTCTTTAAAGCTCCATCGGAGCAAACGTTAATCCACAGAAAACCCAAACTGACATTTGCTTTAAAGAGCAGTTTTCAGCAGGGAAAGCTCAAGGAAAAAATGCTTGGACACGGAAAGTAAAAGTGCGGACCTCTGCCTGGAAAGACCAGGGTAAAAGGGGTGTGTGGATAAGCCCTAAATTCTAAATTTAAAGCTTTGATAGCGGATGGAGCCAGTGCTGCATTGACAAGGCCTACCATAAACACCGTCTATAGCCTCCTGCAGCTAAATTGGAGCTGATTATTTGCTTGTTATACTTGTGTTTCCGGAGCTCTGCACTTCGTCAGACCTCCGTTTTTCTCAATTTGCAACTAGCATCTCATTTTCGATAACATATTCAAATTCTCTGGGAACGCAATAACCTCCTAGAGCCAGAACTGTGCAGATTAGGGGATGTTTGCATAAAATATTCTGTTTTAGTTTCCATATTATCCCGGTGCACATTTGGGGAATTTTAACATGCCAAACTTAGAGGGCCCTGCATGCTGTGTAAACCACCAGCTTCTCAAAACATCCATCTGAACTGCATTAACTTTCTCTTCATGACCTCATTCTGGGTGTCCATGCATTTTATGTCAGTAAGTAGACGAAAGGGGGAAAGAAAGGATCAAATAATTATTCTCCAGGGGATTGTGCAAATGTTTCCCAGCATCAGCAGCTTAACAATAAATTTAGAACGGATTAATAAATAGCAGCAGCAAGTGAGGTGTGGCATGAATTGATGACATCAGCAGCACAGACTGATGATGGGTCACTGCTAACCAGTCAGCTGCCATCTGCCTGCACAATACGGTTGCAGCGCCCCCTGACTCCAATAACACCACTGCGTATTATGTGGGGGCAAGAGGCCCACTCCCCTTTATGTCGTTTACAACCTGCTCTACTTCACCAGCAGTCACCACCAGTGCTCCCCACATCAGATGCCTCTGAAGACAGAAAGCTAGTTTAAAAAGAAGAGGCCAGCTTATAGTTTTACCCTGAAGTGCATAGGTGTTTTTATGTGAGGGAGTAGTCAATCTTGCAATTGCTCATCTTTCCTCAGTCTTTCAATGGGCTCAGTCTTTCAAATGGTTTTATTGTTTTATTGGATCTCTTAGGGTTTTTTAATTGTTTGAACTGAGATCTTCGGATGATGGGGGGTTCACAGCATAAAAATACAAAATAAAAACTCAAAATACGTAATAAAACAAGAACAAAACAGACCAATAACCCTCCCCTCCCACAAACACATTTAAAATAATATAGGTTTAGGCTTCTGCTTTAGTTATTTATCTGTAATGTTTCTTACTTGTCTTTCACTGTACAATACAACAATACAAAGTAAGTTAGAGAAAAATGAAATAGTTCCTTTTCTCCCTCTCTCATAACACAACGCAAGATGCTTATGTTAACATATGAAGCCCTAAACAACTTGGATCCCAAGTCCGTATAGATCTGACTGAATGTTAGATCAGAAAGAGAGGCTGTGCTGGTACTGCTGGTTACTGCTGAGGTCTGAGGTAAGGCTTTCTCAGTGGTGGCCCCCTACTTAAGGAACTTCCTTCTTTTGGTGGTGCTTCTGACATCACCATTGTGCTCTTTTCACCAGTTAGCAATGACGCACCTCTTTGCCTAGGCTTTCGAGAGCAGATGAGTTATTTTTGATAAGGTTTTCCCCTCCCCCGCCCTTCTTCAATTTTTGTCTTTTTTATATCATGGTTTCAAGTTATGTTTTAATGTTTCCAATATGTTTTATTCAGTACACATCCAGTGCTTAGTTTCTCAGCCCTGGAGTTGGAAACCGATTCCAGATCCAAATATGACCCCTGCTGAGTGCTAGCACCACCCACTGCAGCAGAGATGCGAATATGGTTGCAGCCCTACGCAACTTCATCCCACAAATAAGTAGCAAGAGATCCAGTCCCTTCTTGGCATCTGCAGCATCAGCAGGGAGCAGCGGGAGAGGGGGTTTTTTCCCTCTCCTTAGCTGAGTAACCTGAGATCAGATGGTCTCATGTCCTTACTATGGATTTTGCTTAATACTAGAAAAACATTGTTTGCTGTGATCTTGCAAGTCATGCTCGGTCAACCACCTTTCATGCTCTAAATACATCAAGTTGCTACACTAAATGAAACCAAACAAATGCATTCAGGAAGATTAACAGGCCACAAAGATGGGGGTCTGTTGTGCTTTCCTTTCCAAAGCATCCCAGAACGGTTTGTTGGAAACAGAAAGTGCACCGCACATGATCACATGTTAATGATTTAAGCCTGGGCTTGGTCAGTTATGTAACCAGTGCATTTTCTTCAGCAATTGTGCTTTCTCCGTTTTCCAAACCCACATTAAATCCTGGATTTCACTGTGCTGCTGCAGTTCAATTTTCCATTGGTACAACGAGCAAATTCTTCTAAATATGCATGTGTGTGTTTTTTCCTTTCCTTCCACCACGGCATGGGTTTTTAAGGGTAGGCGTTAGAATGAAGACTATTCCTCCAATCAGTGTGCGTCTTCAATGTGGAATGCCAGGAGCAGCAAGTTCAGTACATGCTGAGCTCCAGTTTAATCACATTAAGAGTCCCGCTTTCCTCCTTTAAAATATATGGAAAACTTTCACCAACTTCAAAAGAACTACTCCAGAGTAAATGAATTCAGGAATATTCTGCACATGCCGCAACTAACTGCTGGAGCAGATACAGGCGAGAAAATCTTCTTGACCCTCTCTTAAATTGTAACTCATTGGATGCCTTGGAAAACAGCATTAGCTATTAACCTCGGTTTCTTGTCTGGGAAATCAGGACATTTACATATTATCAGCTTTTCAAGCAATAAGCACACACAGTTGCTCATTTGTTCCATAAGATTTGTTCACCTTCGACTGGTCATGAGTCCAGTCCTCTAGAATTACAGCTCTTTTTCTCTGTCTGGACTGAACTGGAGTCTTGAACTGGGGCAAATAATTCACTTTGCCACTGAATATACTTTTGATTTTATTTTATGGTTGGCATAAGAGTGTTAGTCTAACCATCTTATACAAATTGCATACATATATCCAAGGTCTCCTGCAGCCAGCTTTCTGTCTGTGGATGTTTCGCACAGCTCTAAATCTTAAATGAGGTTTTTTTTAAGAAGGGATACATAATTTACATACAGTGCTGTTGCCCACCATCCAATCTCTGAGCCGTGAGAGATCCCAGGGGGTTCCAGGCATGTTATCCAGGGTTCATTTCCTTTTGGGAATGAGGCATAGCGGAGACTGTGGTGTCTTTATGACATATGGTTTATCTATACATATATACAACCTGAGCCTAAGATGGAGGGGTTCACAGCATTTACACTCAAAAGGGTCTTGTTGAGGGAGATGGTCCCACCCATTTGCCACCTTACAAAAGAGCCCATTAATTCCCCCTCACCCATGCTATCACCTCTGCAGGAGGCTAGTCAGGCTATTCCAAGAATTAGAAGCCTTGATTAAATTCTAACACTTGTTGGATCCAGGGACTAGAGGGGTCTGGCGCACAGCTTAACAGTCCAAACCCATAACAATACTTTATGTATTTCTCAGATTGCTTGAACGCTGCAAAGCCAATGTCTGTTGCTTGGAACAGCATCCCGCTTTGCAATCGTAGGAAGCCCTCCTTGACTTCTTGGGGCTGATTATTATTTTTATTACTACTAATACTATTGTTATTATTATGGACAAGGCCCACCATCCAGTCTAGTCACCTCGCCTCCCTTCCATCCCTTCTTCCTTCCTTCCTGAGCCAGCTTGCTGCCCTTGAGATAAAGCAGCTAACAACATATGACTGCCCCGATTAAAAATTGAAAGGAAGCAGAGTGGGGGGGGGGGGAGAAGTCAAATGTGCGCAAGAGCCCAAATGGAAGCAGCACACAAGTTATGAAACATTTTGAGAAGTGTCACTTTACAACAGAACATGTGAGGTCTGTGGAGGTGGTGACATTCACACTCCCCCACCCCCCACCCCACCGGCCACCTCAGGCAGAATTCCAGCCGGGAGGATTCTGAGACAAACCAACCACAGGAAAGAAAACTACAGTTCCAGATCTGCTGGAACCGCTGGCATTTCTGTGAGATTTCCACATGCCGTTTCCCTACCTTTTTTTGAAGGTGGAATTTTAATTTTGAAACACACACACACATTTTATATAATGTCCTCTCACAGAACATTATTTTGGTGAACAGCAACATGAAAGACCTTTAGAAGCAGTACAGAGCAATCGTTAAAATGTCTGGCTACTCAAAAATATTTCATACAACTCCATAGGCCTTGGGATACTTCTGCAAAGGCTGTATACATCTTCCATCACAGGGCAAAGTATCTAATTGTTTTGTATTATGAAGAGTTCTGCCTTTGATTCCTATAGTGCAGGTTGCACATTTTCTCATCCAGGAGTACACTGCTTCATGCAGGCAGTGTATTCAAAATGTCTGGTCTGCTTATTGTTTGCAATGAAATATTATAGATAGGGCACCTAAGAACTTAGGACATTGCCTTAAAGTGAGCATTAAATACATTAAAACAAATTGCAGTCAAGATAATGGGGGTAGTGTTTGTTTCTGGGGGTAGTCAAGGGTACACAGTACCAGCACTTTTTTTTTTTCTAGAAGAAAAGGACTGGGACAGAATCCTAAAAGTATCTCTTTCGGTAGTCAAAGGGCAAGGTAAAGAGATCTTGCGATATCTCCTACCTCAATTACCTATTGGACAACCCAAACCACAGCATCAGTTGTGCAGATGTTTGCATTTCTTGGACAAGTTGTTTAAAGAATGAACTCATTAACAAGGCTATGATTTAAAACAGGCTTCCGCAACCTCAGCCCTCCAGATGTTTTGAGACTACAATTTGCATCATCCCTGACCACTGGTCCTCCTAGCTAGGGATCATGGGAGTTGTAGGCCAAAAACATCTGGAGGGCCAAGGTTGAGGAAGCCTGATTTAAAATAATAATTCGACATGGCGTTGGTTTGGGGAGTTTGAACATTACACTTGGGTAATGCAAAGCTTTGCGTTTTCACTAGGGGGAGTCATGCTCAGGAACAGTGGATACTGGTCAGGATTTATAGCCAAGGAGTCTTTACACTGCTCTGTGTGACATGCCACAAAGCCCACCTTTGGTAATACAGTACGTGTAGATTAGGATCCCAAAATTAAACTACTGATGAAGGAAAAGTTGTGTCAAAAAAAAGAAGTCTCACACCAAATAGGAATTAAGGAAAAGATCGCCATCAAGGTATCAGGAGATTATATTTATAGGCCTATTAGAACCTGCCACTGCAATGAGTGCGATAAGGCAATTCTGCTTCCAAGGTTCATAACATGAGGCAATTCCCATGAGCTGCCTCCACTGAATTGAAATTGGTAATCTGCTAATTGGCAACCTAAAATATCACCAGTTATCTCACTGATAAAAAAGCAAACTACTTCACACTTTGGGTATTCCAGTACTGAAGGCCAAATAACAACAAAGCATTCCCTTTTTCCAGCAGGTCACAGATCTGAAGCTCCCTTCAAGTGTGAAAAAGAGGAAGATAAGAAATTATTTGCGTGGGCCTCTCAGAGCAGACTCGATGCAAGAAAAGGATCTGCAATCAGATTTGGATTGGAGCAGTAAAGCTGAGTTTCCTCCCAGGGTGCATTTCTGATCCAAATTTGCCCCTCTTTTGATAAAGCTGCTATTAGTTCCAGAGGGAACAGCCATAATACAGTAGGCAGGGAATCTCCAGTTTCCTTCCTGGCTGATATTAAACAGGCTCCCTTCCTGTGGAACTTCAGATGACTACCAGTGACTTCCCTGTTGCAGTGGGCATTTTAAAATAGATTTCTGAGTTTTAATTGTCCTGCCCTTTTAAGTTGTTGACAACACCTAGAACGATGTTATATCAGGCAGGGCCAGCCCAATACATTTTGGCACCTCAAAATGGCACTCCCCACCCCAGCCCCGCCTGGGAAGATGGGATAAGTGAAGATCTACATCAGAAACAAGCGGGGGATGCAGAAACAAGGGTTGGAGGAGACCAGCAGGGCCTCCTGTTCTCCACTGCAGAGATGGCATGGGGAGGTGGCAGGCTGCCCAAGGAGTGTGCTGCAGCTTTTGCTACCACTATGGCAGTGGCAGCAGGTGACGCATTCCTTGGAGGCCAGACCTGCTTTCCCTGTGGATCCTGCCGCCTGAGGACGTCAACTCACCTTGCCTCATAGGTGGGCCAGCCCTGATGTTGGGGCACTGCAGGAACTGTTGCCACCCTCATGCCCTCGGGTGAAGGGTAGACTTCAAATCTCTTAAATGAAGTAAATGAAAGTAAAATGGCAGGTGGCTTGTCTATGATGGCACTGCTGCTGCCTACTGCTGCCTGCCTGCACCAGTTCGCCTGCCAGAAAGCAACCAGCAGATGTTGGGGGCTGCAGAGGCATCATGAGCCCACCAGGTTGCATTTGGTTTCAGCCAAGCCTTTCACATAACCTTCCATGTAATCTTTTTAAATGAAGATGCCAGTATTGAATTTGGGACCTTCCACATGAAGCATGCGCTCTATGGCTTCTTCCCTAGTCATCTGAAAAATATATGATACATCTCCTCAGATGTTTTTTATTCAGGCTGCAGCTTCTTGTTCTGCATCAAACACAAGTCTGCAGAATCTTCTCCTTTGAATATCTTGGGTGGGGGATGTACAGGATGTCAGAGGTTAGGGCCGGCCTCCCAGACCCCAATTCATGCAGAAGCTCTGGCTGCAGTCCATTGGATCCTGTCCTCAATATTTATTCTACATGTATTCATCATAAAGAAGCCTAGTGACATCCAGCCTATTGCTTCTTTGACTGTGTGCAGAGCAATATATTACTATTAAAGCACACTTTAAGGCATGCATGCCTTTAAAAGTGTAGTTGAACTCACAGTGGGATCCTTAGGCATTATTAACTTGAAGGTTTAAGAGACCTAAAAGCTACACTACATATGGAAAGTCACATTAATATGTCTCCTTATACGCTGTAACTTTATATTGTTTTATTATAGAAATGGCTATAAAAACAGATTTGTCTGGAATTATTGATTATTTTGTTCTGTGTCTGGTGGAGCACGGATTCTTACCATGCGCCCTTAAATGAAGCTTCGGGCTACGAATGAAAATATGTACATGCAATTATACTGTAAAAAGATACTACAGTGTCATATGGGCATGTTATTGGTGCAATATAATAGCAGGCCAAAAGCAGCCAGCAGGGAATAAAACTTGCTGAGTTGGAAAAAAATGTATTATGTTAGGGAGGAAAGGGGTAAAGAAAGGGGGGGGGGGAGACTCAACAGCTATACTGTAAAGCCCGTTCTGCCACTTAGCAGGGCTTATGAATTGTATTCTGGAGCTCTGCAAATGGCAGGCTTTTAAGTTGACAGAAAGACTAAGCATTTCTTAAAATAAAAACACACGACTTCTATTGCTGCAGTTCAGTAACTTTTGTTTCTTTGTTAGTTAGTTTTGTTTTGTTTTTAATAATGCGTTGCATACAACTAACATCTTTTTTTGGGGGGGGGGGGGTGAGAGGATGGTGGAGGGAGCAAGGCCAGGACAATGTAGATGTGTATACCATATAACACCAGTCCTGAAAGACCTACATTGGCTCCCAGTATGTTTCCGAGCACAATTCAAAGTGTTGGGTTTAAAGCCCTAAACAGCCTCGGCCCAGTATACCTGAAGGAGCGTCTCCACCCCCATCATTCAGCCCAGACACTGAGGTCCAGCTCCGAGGGCTATCTGGTGGTTCCCTCCCTGCAAGAAGTGAAGTTACAGCGAACCAGGGAGAGGGCTTTCTCGGTAGTGGCGCCCGCTCTGTGGAATGCCTTCCCATCAGATGTCAAGGAAATAAACAACTATCAGACTTTTAGAAGACATCTGAAGGCAGCCCTGTTTAGGGAAGCTTTTAATGTTTGAAGTTTTATTATGTTTTTAATGTTCTGCTGAAAGCCAACTAGAGTGGTTGCAGAAACCCAGCCAGATGGGAGGGGTAGAAATAATAAATTGCTGTTGTTGTGGTTGTTGTTGTTGTTGTTGTATAAGGCCAGCCCTATCATGAGGCAGAGTAAGGTAAGCACCTCAGGCAGCAGTTGGGAGGAGGCGGCACCAGAGACAGCCCTTTCTCCTGTGTCCCCAGCCATACCATTCTGTTGGAAGACAGACCTGCGAGTGCCACACAGCCCATTCTGTACCCTCACTGCTTACCAGCTTCCCAGAGGGCCAAACTATGCCACTGACAGTATTGGTATAAGAGTCAACTGCCAACTCCATCAGCTTCTGATGCCCCCTCAGGCAGCCAAATGTCTTGGGCCACCCTGTCTTGGGCCACTCAGGGTGAAGGATGGATGGCGAGATCAGCCTCATCTATCCTGCACTGGGCTGCCTCCTATTCTTTTGTTCACCCACTTCTTCAAGTCACGAGAAGTTCCAGGGATGCAGTGCTTCCCCGGTTTTGGTGTCCTTTAGAAGGAGGTCCCTGGAGCCTTTAGGCATTTTGAAGTGTTTGCAGATACAGTGGTACCTCAGGTTAAGTACTTAATTCGTTCCGGAGGTCCGTATTTAACCTGAAACTGTTCTTAACCTGAAGCACCACTTTAGCTAATGGGGCCTCCTACTGCTGCCGCGCTGCCAGAGCCCGATTTCTGTTCTCATCCTGAAGCAAAGTTCTTAACCTGAAGCACTATTTCTGGGTTAGCGGAGTCTGTAACCTGAAGCATATGTAACCTGAGGTACCACTGTATTTACACATATACAGGGTGAATGTGGGTGGGGGCACCGTTTAAATACCCCAGCAGACTGAAGTCCAGTGCTTCCACAATGGACAAGAAGCACCCCAAGCAGTGAAGGCTGGTCCTTTAGGGCAGGTGGGCCAATATCTTACCCATCTCAATCTGTCCTGGGCCAGCCCTCACCTGCCTGCAGTTTTACTTACAACCAGTCAGTACTTTACTTACAATCCTGTCATTGACTCTGCCTTTCCACCTACTGTTGGCCTCCCTTCCCTTCCCTTCCCAGTGGGCACCACTGTAAGATACTTATGGAGCCCTAACTCAGCTCCTGTGTCTTTCCCTGCCTATCCCAAACTGCAATTTTTCTCTTGTTTTCTTTACATAGATGCCTGATTTACAACATCCTCAGCTTGGTGGGGCAGGAGGAGGTCCTTTTGCCCCTGTCCAGGTATTTCCTAGCCTCTGAGAAAGCCAGCTATTGAATCTCCTGATCTCCTGAACTGCTTCAAGCAACTATCTCATTTCTGCAACAGAAATATCAAAGAAATCTAGACAAATTGGATACGTGATTGCATAGCATCCCATTAACAATAAGGTGATGTGGACAAACATAAATTTGATAATCAATACTTGCGTAACGCAGGTCCTTTGGCAAGTTCACAATATAATCTAAGAAATGATCTAATCTTAGATACATCTGACTGATCTTTCTAAGTCAGCTAGCCATCTAATGATACCATCTGTGTTGTGGATCTATATAAATTAAATTTCATTAACAGAAACAAAAGGAATGAATTTAATAATGCATACATTGTCGAAGAAAGCTTTGTCTATTATAAAACCTTTGGCAGGGACGATGGTGGAAACAATAATTAGCAAGTTAGCATGGCCCATTTAATAATCTTCTGCACTGTCTAAAAACAAGGAAAAGTGGCTGTGGGTAAATAATTGTAACAAGAAACATCTGCCTTTTATGTTTCATTTTGACGTCAGTGTGCCTTTATTAGCTTCCCAATACAATTCAACATTTTATGAAGGAACCTGAATAAAATTTAGTATTGAATAGGTTTTGCAGGAGCAGGAATAAGAGTCCAGCAGTGATCAAAAGAGGGGTTTTTTTTCATTTCAATATGGATATCATAATAGATATATAAATTCTAGAGACCTTTTTGCCAAGAGGTTGTTTTGCCAAGAGGCCGTTTGCATGACTCTTGAAAGAGTAAAAGGACAAAAAAGGTGCCCAAGCATTCTTCTCTCTTCTCGCAGTTTCAGTGTTGTTGATGCCTTTGCTGAGCCAGTTACAGATGTTATGGGTTAAGCCTTACATTGTGCCATTGTTTTGTGAGAGGAAGAAGACAGGGAAGACTAAGGAGGGGAAATGGGTTTTATTCATAAGCTGGAGGGTCACACAGACATCGTGTACATCTGACCGCTGGGAGAGAGATGTAATCTTGCAAGGCCTCATGGGGGGGGGGGATGCAGAAGAAAAATAACCTTTCCAAGTTACAGCTCAACCCTGCAGAAGAGAAAAAAGCATTTCTTCCTGACAGCTCCTTCTCATCAAGTCTCCTGTGCCATCTTGGGTAATCCTTTTTGTGGACAGACCAGCCTTGCCCAACCACTTGACCAGAGGAACTTCTCTGTTCTGCCTGTGCTAAGAGCACAGAATGTAAGAGCTCTGTTGAATCAGTCTCACAGAGTCCACTGACAGCATATATACCTGCTTAATTACATCTGTACAGTGGTACCTCTGGTTATGAACTTAATTTATTCCGGAGGTCCATTCTTAACCTGAAAACATTCTTAACCTGAGGTATCACTTTAGCTAATAGGGCCTCCCGCTGTGGCCGTGCCGCCACTGCACGATTTCTGTTCTCATCCTGAAGTAAAGTTCTTAACCCGAGGTACTACTTCTGGGTTAGCAGAGTCTGTAACCCGAAGTGTCTGTGACCCGAGGTACCACTGTATTAGGGAGTAAGTTCTACTTGGTTCCACTGGGCTTCCTCCCAGGGAAGTGTATGTCAAGTGTCCTGTTTTCCCCTGTGACCAACCACATGCTTCTTGCAAGCCCATGAAGGGAATAGCTCTAACAGTCCACCAGCCAGTACCACCAAGTACAATGAAGATGCTCCACACCACAGGATTTAAGCCTCTGTGAAAAACAGTTTATGCTGACCTTTGACCCAAAATGTTACCCCAGTCATATGGTAATTGTCTAACATGCCTCGTCTTTTGCTTCTCTTATACATTGTTCTAACCACATAGAGCTTCTCCATACCAGCAGAACATTTCCAGATCATGTGTCCTGTCATTCATGAAAACAGCTTGCACTGATGTAGATAGTCAGTTTACATGATGGGAACAACATGCAAGCAAAACACTTGCAAATGTTACAAGTGTTCCATGAAGAATAATCAAAGAGAAGCATCTCTGGTGGTTTCAATGACGGGAAGGAAAGAGATGGAGAGGAAGGATTGGGGCTCTTTAAAAATAAAATGAAAAGTGTGTAAGCTACAGTTTTAAAGAAGTTGATGGCATTCTACTTCGGCTGTCCATCCACTTAGGGTGTGCATGCATTACAACTTACTCCACATGCAGTAAACTCCCCTTACTAGTTTTTGAAGCCGTGTACATGTTAGCCCTGATCCCTATCAATCCTGTAGTTTCTTAAGAAATTCTGGTGGTCAGTGGCGTAGTGTCAGGGGGCTCAGAGGGGTGGTCACCCTAAGCATAAAATTCTGAGAGGGACACAACCAGATGCCCCCAACCAGGCTCCCTCATCGAGGCCACGTGGCAGAGCTCCTGCTGCCTCCTGGAGCCTCAAGGAGGCAAGCTGCACATGGGCCAGGCCTTTGGGGTTGAGGAAGTGCCTCCTTCTCCTCATGGCCGGTGAAGGAATGTCCAAACACCCCACCTCTGGGCTGGTCAAGCCAGGAGGTGGCAGAGCCGCCAAGCCAAGAAGGTGTGCAGTCATTGCCACCAGCTACAGCAGCACGGGCAGTCATGTGCCTCATGGAATTTATCCCAGCTGCACTGGCCACCAAGGGGACACACACTTGCCCATCCCTGGCACTGGCAACCCATGCTATGCCACTGCTGGTGTTTGATGCATTTTTTGGCAAACCAGCTTCATTCTGTCTAGAAAACATAAGCTTCATTCACTTCATATTTAAGACCAGTGTGTGTTTGAGACCACCGTTGCAGATGAGTGCAGGTGGTTAGATCACAGCTTCATGAATAGGAGTTCTCATCATGAATATCCTCTGGGCTGGCCTACCAACAGAGGATAAAATCCACTTGGCCTTTCCCATACTTCCAACAACTGTCATTAGTAGAATTGTGCATTATAGAGACCATTAAAAGGGTTAAAATACTATTTCACCCATAACTTTAATGAGGTGTGTTAATGTTAATGATGCTGTACATTTGTTCATATTTGTCTAAATGTACTTCTGTATATCTTCTGAAAATGCTTGTCCTGCCATTCCTCTGCGGTTTTGAACACACAGTAGTTTGCTTTTTTATCCCCTCCTTTATGCAGTATAACTTGCTAAAGCTGAGAGAGCAACTTATTTGGTTTTCCCCAATTTCATTTTTCAAAGAGAGGAATCTAGGAGGATTAATGAGGTCACAATCCCCTCGTCATTCTCCCAAAGTAGGTAATCCATGTGGGCAACCAAGGCAAATTCTGTCTCGAAACTGGGCCACAACCCAGGTTGAAATTCAAAGAGTGTCTACAGCTGAACCATCTTCCTCTCAGTCATCTTGCCCAAGAAAAGTATATAGGTGATCTGGAGGTATTTGGCATAAACCTCTGGTCCCAGGGCATTCCCACCCGCCAGGATGGCCTCCCCACTGACCTTCTTCAAGCTGGTGGGGACCCAGCCCATCCTGCAATGAAGTGTTCACAGAATCCTGAACCCACCCAGCATTTGTGTCATCATCCCCTCTCTATCGTCACAACCACGTGTGCAGTAGGTTTGTCCAAGAGCCAGAGGTAGCACGTTCAAGGTCATTTTGTGAGCTTCTTGTTTGAGTAGGAATTTTAAACTATATCTTTCCAGTCTACACTCCACTCTTTACTGTCTTTCTTTTAAGCAAGGCAGCCATTGTCCAAGTAAAGATCAACTCACATGCTATTCCTTACCCCATCCCCACAAAATTCAAAATCCCTGTTCTTTAGGGTAGCAGCTTGGAAACAGCAATCTACCCTAGACTGGAGCCAAATCTAGTACTCTTATTTCACATTAGGGATTTTGGTTATATTTGCTTTGTAAGTATTCTGAGCGCCAAAGTGAAGTTTAATTCTCCAACCTGCAAATAACCTGCAGCTTGAAAATTAGCTGTGTCAGAGCAACACACGCTCATGTTGTCTTGCCCATTTATGATATAACTCGATGTGTGTCACTCCAGGTCAAGAGTCTATATTTAGTATCTGGGCAGCCAAACAGCAAGCTAACCTTTCATCCCCCCGATCCAATTTCCATGTTATTGACTAGGGACATGTCTGTCAAAACACACCTCGTGAACATCCCTGAAATGTGTCCTCTCTCTTTAAGTATCCAAGTAGTAGCTATATTAGATATTCTGCATGACAAACTTAAGTAAATCCAGCAGTGTGTTGAAATAAATGGCTGTCTGGCTTTCTCCCCCTCCGCTCAGTGGGAACTTTCTAGGTTCACACACACATCTTTTTTGGCCTCCCAACATCAAGGCATCCCTTCCCACCCCCACCTTGGCGTTTTATCATACTGCTGGGAAAGAGAAAGATACTTGCTTACCAAATGGCTGGCCGGTGACTCATGTGCTTGTTTGAAATCCACTGAGCATATGAATCTCCCTTATCTTGCCCTGTGTGTTTTGAATCCCCTCTAATGAAAACACTTAACCACTGCCTTTTTGCTGACCTCCCTCTGCACAGATTTCTGTGGGCCGTTTTCAGAAGACCGTGTGCGCTGGCCTTAACTGTGAAATCAAAGGGAAAACAAGAAGTTAAATTTACAGCAGGAGTATTTGGTCTTTCCTAAACAAATATTCTCCATTCCACATTAAGAATGGACCAACACGTCCTCCTCTTTAACAGCCTTCTCCCCCGGGCCCATTTATCAGTTGCAAGGACAGCAAATCTATTTATTTTATGATACAATGGAGGGCAAATGTGAGGCTACAGGGATGCTTTGCCATGGTCTTTGGGGCATGGAAAACATTACTCAGTTGTTCACAGGGTCTTCCTACAGAGCTCATTAGCAATTTAATCCAACAAGGATTTAGGAGTCTGAATTAAGGTCACATTGTGTGTTACACTCTGGCCATAGAAATTTTAAAAAATCATGCTGGGTCAAAGTATTTCTGCCCAGAAATTTTTGAAGGTAGTGGTGGGGGTATCACCCCCCGCAAATGTTAAAAATTCGCACGGGAAATTTAACAGGTGAAGCTTTCCCTTGCAAAGATAGAAATTTTTAGCTGCTGAACCTCTGATTGGCACAGCTGTTAAGCTGGCAAGAAACCGCCATACAAATTGGCAAGCCTAATAAGGGGTTAGTTTCTTACTCAGCTTTCCAAATATCCTTTCTTAATGAGGATGTATCCTACTCGTCATCACAATTTTTTAGCAAGCCCCACCCCTGTGAAAAAATTAATAATTACTGTATGTTTCTGAACTTACATTTCTTCTGAAGTTCTGACACATCATCTAAGTGACAAAAAAATTCTCAGCGCCAAGAAGCCAGAGTTTCCAAGTGCCGTGCTTGGTAGTTATTTTGCTGCTTCCCCCAGACCTGGAAGGCCAGGGGTGGAGGGAGAGCAAGGATAAAAAGCATCCATAAACTTTTGGCAAAGTTCAAAGGAAGCAAAATATCATTTGGCTTGGAAAATGCAGGAAAAGCTCACTTCTTGGCTCCCTCACAATGCAGAATTGCAGAAGTCTTGTGCTCTGTAACCGCAGACACCTATTGCAGTTTTAAAGAGTAATCATGTAGCAAGATATGTCTCCTGCAGGTTTTTCAAGACTAGTCAGTTTTTCCGTGGCCAGATTTCCATAAGCTATCTGTCTAGTGTGGGACTATCAGCTCTCTTCTCCAGTTAGCCATAAGGAATGCAAGGAACTCATTCCGCCTGACCACAGTCCATAAAATGACCTCACAAAGTTAAAACAGACTAATAACAGAATGGAGTCATTTGATCTTGGGTTACAATGTGCTGCAACCACAAAGCAAAGTATTTCGATTTATTTCATTTTTTTTTCATGTATACTGTACATTGGATGTGCATTTTGGCCAAGGGATGGTGGGACAGATCTGGGCTCCAAAGAGACAGGTTGCCAATCTTGCTGATTTATGGTGGCTTCAAATCCTAAGGTATACAAACTGTGACATACCTTCCCCATAGGAGCCATACAAGGTGAAGGAGATGAGGAAAATCCTCTGTCGGAAAATCCAATAGGTTTGTTGATGTATTACCTTTCGTCCATGATGAAATATAAGGCAACATATATAATGTTCCCAGGATAGCTTCCATCTAGGCATTGACTGGACTCCAACCTGTTAGTTTCAGCAAGTTGCTATCACTCTATACGAAGTGGGCAGACACATGAATAACTTGCGTGGCTGCCCCCTCTGTGTCCTGCTTCGCCCACAGTCCATGTCCATTTTGGTGCTGATGTTTCATCTCCTAAATGCCCTCTCCGTGGAGGCTTGCCTTTTCAGCACCAGGTGAAAACCTTTTTGCTTACCCTGTTAGATGTTGTTTTAATGGGTGTGTGATTCGCTTTGGTTCTTTGTTCTGGTTTTCTTTCATCTTCTTTCATTGCTGTGGTTCAGTTCTTCTGCTTTGTTATTTTTATTTTATCAATTTATTTGAATAATGGTGTGCGGCTCTTAGAACTCTCCCCCCCCACACACACACATAAAATACACAAATAAGTGAAGGCACAGAATCCCAAACAGGGAGTTTTGGACAGTGTATATCTTGGCATCCAGCTCTATCCAGGGTCTAATTAAGACTGAGGCTGAAGATGAGTGTGGATATCATTCTACAGAGTCAATGCCAAGCGCTTTGATGAGCTGTTGATATGTTTTCTGAAAGCGTTTACTCCACTTTAACAAACCTAGCTCATGAGAAGGAAGATGCCCTTCTGTTGTTTCATTTGTGTTTGTTGTACAGTTGTGCCTTGGGTTACAGATGCTTCAGGTTATAGGCGCTTCAGGTTACAGACTCTGCTAACCCGGAAGTAGTACCTCGGGTTAAGAACTTTACCTCAGGTTGAGAACAAAAATTACGCACCGGCGGCGCGGTGGCAGCGGGAGGCCCCATTAGCTAAAGTGGTACCTCAGGTTAAGAACAGTTTCAGGTTAAGAACGGACCTCCAGAATGAATTAAGTTCTTAACCTAGGGTACCACTGTACCTCCTTTCTTTCTTCTTTCTTCATAGGTGCTTGCTACAGTTCTCATTCTTCCATGAAATGAACAATTTTTAATAAGCTACTCAGGATACTAATGTACAAAAAAGATTGTGTAAGAAAGTGTGGTGTGGTGCAGCAATAAAGATGAAGAAGAAGGAAGACTCATTGGAAAGTTGAAAATGTGTTCGTAGCCCTTGTCCTCCCTAGTTGGGTTGAACTGTATATTGTGTATAGATAATAATTAAATAAAGTATTATTTTCTTACTTCCCTTTATAAAAAAGTTTATTATCCCAAAGACCCTCTGGTAGAATATTCCTATATCTTTCAATATCAAATAGTACAATATGGAATAATATAGCAGATGAACGTTATGACGAAATGTAACCTATTTTATTTATTTATTTAAAACAAACTCGAGTTTGCTGTATGTGGCAATAGCTAAATCTTGTAGCACTAAAGGTGGACATAGGGGTTTTGTCTTTAAAATAACAAATTATTTTGTCCCGAAAGTAGTTCACAATCCTCTCCTTTTCTCAATTTTTATCAAAATGTCCCAGCTTTGTTAATATTGCGTTCATTGATATTTTCATTCTTTGCCACCTTACTTTTATGCTTTAGCAATTAATAATATTTGCATTTGACACGGTCATATTTGTTCACCTTTGGATGAGGGTTTCATTGCAGCATTCAGTTTCAATTTTCCATTAGGAGAAGACTCAATGTCAGCAGGTTTAAGGGCTGTACACTTCTTTCTGTAGCATAAAAATCCTAGGCTATATTGTTTTCAAGAGAGACCAAGCAACAACCATGGCCTTGACAGAACACACACAAACATTTCCAGAATTCATACAAAGTATAAGAAAGGGACATTTTCCTATGATCCAGATCCTTAATTATATCAGCTAGGAAAGGGTATAGTTAAGTTTAAGACCTATATTTAGCAGAAAAATGACATTTTAAAATTGTTGTCTGGCTCCAGGAATAATATTGCAGTGTTCTTCCCCATCCTTTATCCTTTCCTGCCCATTTTTTGAGTCCTATTGGCAGCAGCCATCTGGGAGCTCCCTTAAAAAGGTAAAGAACCCCTGACAGTTAAGTCCAGTCGCAGACAACTCTGGGGTTGCGGCGCTCATCTCACTTTATAGGCTGAGGGAGCCGGCGTTTGTCCACAGACAGTTTTTCTGAGTCATGTGGCCAGCATGGCTAAACCGCTTCTGGCAAAACCAGAGCAGCGCATGAAAATGCCGTTTACCTTCCCTGTTTATCTACTTGCACTTTGACATGCTTTCAAACTGCTAGGTTGGCAGGAGCAGGGACCAAGCAACGGGAACTTACCCCGTCGCAGGGATTTGAACTGCCAACCTTCCGATCGGCAAGCCCTAGGCTCAGTGGTTTAGACCACAGTGCCACCTGCATCCCTGGGAGCTCCCTTACATTGTGATAAATAGGAACTGGCCGTATATGCACTTGCAGAACTCCCATTCATATCAATGGGACATCTGTGGGAGACCGTCTGTGTGAGCTGTGCCCCGTGCATTTAAACTATATTATTTCCCCTCTAAATCATGGAATATGCTTGTGGTTCGGGTATTCTTAACCAATATCTTTTTCTCTACCAGAGGCCAAGGGATTGGGGGGGGGGGGGAATGAAACATGAAAATGGAGAATGCTTTATGGTATGTAGGTTCAAAGAAATGGACCTTTCTTTCTTTCTTTCTTTCTTTCTTTCTTTCTTTCTTTTTTAAACCAGAGCTGAAAAGTTGTCTTGGGTATGCAGATTTATGAAAAGCGATAGCTCGCTTTTGTCTACTGGAACAATGTGCCTTTCTTTGCTACGTTTGCCCCATGACTGTTTAGCTGAGTCAGAACTTTTTCGGAGAACCCCCCCTCCTCCTCCTTCTCCCCTCTAAATTAATGAAAGGTTACCCTGATGCTGCAGTGCTCAGCAATGCGCTCTGCCAAGCCTACAGTCAAATAGGAAAATATTTAGATTTGAGATTCAATTTACATGGAAAGGGGAAAGGTCAGCAGAGCAGAGACAAAAATAATTAAACTTCCCTGTAAAAAAGGAATAAAGGAACCAAGCGTTCTCACTAAATAGGTCAGGAGAATGCTTGTACTATTACTAATTTACTTTTATCTCCATAGATCTAGCCCTGTCCAATAACACAAGAGCCAAAGCATGCCTGAAGGTAGTGACAAGGAGTTGCTCGACTGCCACATGGAGATGTGGGGTGGGCTCCTCTCCCTAGCTGTGGCTCTCAACCAAAGGGATAATCTGGGGTTCCCAAATGGGTGGGTTGAGAAATGTTGCTAAGCAAATGGCTAGATCAAGTGGTCAGGAATGAGCCAGCTCCAGGCAAAGGTTTGCAGCTAACTGCAGAAAGCAGCCAGGAACAGAGAGGCTTAGACATTAGTCAGGCAGGGGAGAGTCGGCAGCTGCAGACTTTGGCTCTTCCTGACCGTGACGGGCAAACTGATAAGGCAGTAACTGAGAGCAGGCTGGAACACAGCCAATGCTCACAGGCGCAAATAGACTCAGAGACAGACTCTCAGAACAGGAAGAGGTTGGAGCTGATCCACTAAGTCCGAAGAGTCGGCAAATGGGAGGGCTGCTAGATAGGAAGCAAAACACGAGATGTAAAGGTCATAAGTTCAATATCTTCGGTCAACACCGGAAGGAGTTTTCAGAAGGGTCATCTTGAGTAATGATGCCGGAGACTTTGTTAGACTTGTCCAGAGCTGTTTGTTTTTTCAATAAATCCTCCTTTTTAATTACCCACGCTTACTGTGTTATCAGGCTGGGAACCTGAACTCCTGACACTTGGGAAAGGGCTATAATTCAGTGGTACAGCAACCACTTTGCATGCAAGAGATCCTAGGATTTCAATACTTGGCATTCCCAGGTAGGCTAGGAATGTCCCCTGCCTGAAATCCTGGAGAGCAACTGCTGGCCAGCATAGTTAGAACGTCCAGTGGCCTCTGCATAAAGGAACTTTCTGTGTTGTCCTCTTGCTTTTTTCTACCGTTTTTGAATCCCTGTGACATGAAAGTGGCTGACGGGCAAACTGAGGACATTAGGAGCAAATTTGCATTGACCTGGCCGGGGGCTTATTTAACCATGTGGAAGGATGCAAGGATTTTCATTTGCCTTGTTGAATATAGAAAGCGAGTGATTTCCCCCTCCATATGTTTGCCACAAGGAAAAGTTGTCCGCGTGCCATTTTATGGTGAGCAGTGTCCCAGTTTGTACAGATCACTGCAGAAAATGATTGAGGTTCCCTTAAATGCAATGCTTTCTCTTAGCTCCAGCCTGTTCTTGTTTCTGGGCCACACAG